AGCTACCTCTTCCTCAATACAGGACTTTCGTGAACAGAATGACTATACTTCCCTTTTTTTTAAAATCTGTTTAGAACAGCATTGCTTTTTATTTTACTCCCTCCACCCTGCAACGATTAAAATCAAAGCAATTACGTCTGCATTAAGCCCCACTCTGAATTTTTCCAGAAAAAAATGACCTAGCAAGTAGACTATTTCTCTAAAGATTTTCTCTGTGGCTGCTGTAGTGTTACGTAAGCTCCCCTGCATCACTGCTCACATCTAGACTACCACCTGGTCTGCTCTCTACCCCCACTCCCTTTATATCTATCTCAGCAACTCAGGGGCCTCATTATTAAATTATTTATTATTCCATTTGAGAATCAGACAGGGAAGCATAAATTTAGAATGGGCTAGATGAGGAAGAAGATAACCTCTAGAACTATTAAAAGCATTTTCCAGTTTCTGTGGCAAAAGATGAGAATTGTGGCCCTCACAAAGGATGGAGTTCTTCCCTTGTTATGCTGGTTGGTTGGTGAGCTGGGAGCAGAAGGGACGGGTACTGAGAACACCAGCCAGAGTCATGCACTGTGGCAAGGTGAAGGAAGAGCTGCTCGTTCTCTTGACGTTGGGGCGTCTGTATACAACGAGTATGCCCACCACCACCATGCCTGCCCCAACTGATCCAGCCTCTGGTCCCTGCTGAGCAGTTCTTGTAGCTGGTGGGATCCAGCCTTTCCTTCAGAACCAATCCTAGGCTCCTGTACAATAATCACCAGTCTTCCTATGCCTGTAGAAGCCAAACTGCCAAAAGTTTCTCCTTTTTCCTTTAACAACTAATTTTACCATTCCATGGTATGGTTTGAATTGGGAACTGGTAGTTCATTCTTCATAGTAGAAATTAGCACCTATTTTATAAGGATCTGTTTTCGTTTCTGTGTCCATTGCTAAACAGTGAACTATCTGAGGCCCGAGACATTGTCCTATTCATATGTAAGCCCCCGGTACCTCCTGTACACAAAGAAACCTTACCTCCTTTGCTCATGTGTTTCCCCCTTTAGTAACTATACAGTTTCACACCTGCCTAACCCTCCAGTATCACACAAAATAAAAGCAGCTCCCAAGTTCACTAAGGGCCAGATCATTACATTAAAAGACGCTATAGCACCCTTACATGCTTGCTCTTTATTCCATTTCCTCAATATTTGAAGTTGGGTGCCTGAGTCCAGGTTACTTCTGCTTTGCAGACCTAGCCATCTTGGATTT